CGTGCTCTGTCAGTTTTCATTCAAATTTGGCACATACATGTACTTTATACATGTTAGGATGCATGTCCATGACAATTTGTTTTAAAATCTGGTCAAGGATGGCCGATTGACAGCCATCTGACTTTTTGGCCTTACTACTATATTTCCACAATTTATGTACCATTTTCATTCATATTTGACACATACATCATACATATCAGTGTGTTTCATAATCAGATCAAAGATGGCTGAATAACGGCTGTTTTTATTTGGCCATATTACTATGACACGAAACACGTGTTTTGATGTAAATAAACAATCTGTTGTATACGCCACTTGGAACTCAAGTTTCAAGGACACGCTTGCGACAACCCCTCCGCTTTAATATGACGAGCACAAAGAGAACTTAACGGGGACTGTGTCATTTTCAATGACTTGTTTTGAATTAAATATGTCCATGCACAACCAAGATGTGGTTCAGGAATGGCTTGATTTTGATGCATTTTTAGCACTAAAAATTGATGTCATTTGGCCATTTTGAATTGAATTACGAAACGAATATATATGCAGATGTACGACATAATTTATTAAGCTTGAACATAATTAGCCTGAGATATAGGTGTGGCAAAAGCCAGACACACTTATAGCACACTGTACCGGTAATTAAAATTTGTATCAAAATGTGGGTAGATCCATGTGTATTGTGCTCTATTTTGCAAGGGTTGGCATATTTATTTAATATGATACATTTGGAGTGAGCAGTCGGCTGAATCAACTCTTTTTATATTGCCTTGCTATTGCATTGCAGTCTATAGGATGGAATTGGCAGTGGAATGTCAGATGGAAAAATACACCCCATCACTGGCTCTGTTTGACAAGGCCAGAGTGCTAAGCACAATGCTGAACTCTACTGAGTTCAGTTGGTATATACTAATAGTGGTGGAAAATAATAAATGTTTTGTTTTTCACTGTGAAAGATGCATGTGCACCACACCTACATATGTGGGATCCTGAGCAAGTCAGTCTTCACAATATGTCATATTAATACATTGGTCATTTATTTGGCTGAGTTGGTCATGCCATGGAACTATAAACCCCAGGAAGAACAACGAAACTAAGAGGATTAAAAAAACCTTTGTCTTAGTTTATCTTACAGTGCTTTCGCTTTTGTTTCCACGACATTAGTCATACTCCATGTTAGTTGCCGCCGATACGCCCGTTTCAACCGCTTTGCTGGAAACGGAAAACTTGAAAAAAAATGTTCATATCTGCGCAGTAAAATATTTCGTTCACTACGCATGCGCAAACAAGTCGGTCTGCAGGGTGACCTTCAGTGTACCGGAAATCATGCAACGGGTCGGAGTTTTAGCGAGTTTTCATAATTTTTAATGTCGTTTTTAGATTACTTCTTGTTTTTTTCAACCCTCGAAAAAATAAGGTTGCGAAAGTTTGCGAAACATGGGGTTTGGTGAGCTGTTTGTTGTTGAGATATCCCGACTAATTCCGTGTTTCCCTTCGATCGCCAGAAGTGGCAATGTGTTTTTTTTTCCCGTTGAATGTCGATCATTTATCAGTGTTTTTGTCTTGGCGCCATTGTTTTTTTATGCTATAACCGGAACAACTCGGTCACGTGATCTCCCGGAGTCGTCCGATTGACTCCGAAAATGACCGATAGTCGGAGATAAACGTTCATTTGCGTAAATCGGCTTATTTTTTAATGCGACAAAATAAACAGTCAAAATAAACATTCGACATCGCGGCAACTATCATAGTTCAAAGGAAACAAAGTGGTTGTTCTTCCTGGGGTTTATAGTTCCATGGTCATGCCTAGCAAATTCGTAACATGTGGACAATGGTTTAGTGTGTTTGCCTCACACCAGGGAGGTTTCTAGGTTCCTAGAGCTTACTGTTCACTCAGCTGTATAAATCTGAGTACAGACTGCCCTGCCTTCCAAACATGTGAACTTAGAAATGGGAGACAGGTTTGCACTTTCAAGTAATCAGGAGAGAAAACAGTGACCTCACATCTTGAATTTTCAAGGTGAATGTTCCGGCGAAGCACTCCACTCTATATCACCTTGAAGTATTTCATTAGGACTATGTGTATGTGACAATGCCCTCACAGTTTAGAATCAGTTTAACAACAGTCAATCATATAACTTCTTTCTTCAACGCGCTTGGCCAAGCTATCAAAATCTTCGAGGCGGAGCTAAGTCACTAAACGCTCCACGTTCATTTAAGACGCGCACCACAATACCA